TAACAACAACACACAAAATTTAAAAAGACCCCAAAACCAGTAGGGAACAAGGACTTCCAACCACTTCCAAGTGTGATCCAACACATTCAACTGTCATAGGTTTCTTGGAAAAGACTCTGACTCAGCCCCACACAAATACTTCTAAAACACTGCAGCTGAACTGTTTTGCAAAATATTGAATAATAAGCAAATTGAACTGCGTGTTTATAAATTAAAGTGCCACTAATTTGAGCCCTTAGGCAGCACAGACCAGAAAAAGTGAATCAAAATCACATCTCTTCTTTTCCTTTGTATTTAAACATGTCTTCTTGGGCCTGCATATGCTTGTAGTTGACTAATTTACCCATAAGAATTTCTCCTTTACCCCTGGGGAAAAAAAAATATCTACAATTACAAGGATATCTACTACAAGAATGCACACAGCATTTTCTTTCTTTATCCTATATTTCATGCAAGAGGGACAGCCTCAAGAAAAGGCACTAGAAATTCTCCATAAACCACAACAGGAATAACTGTAAAGATCTGCTGAAAGGTCTTTAATGTTCCTGAATCCACCCTACATTCCTTTACCCCATCTTCCCATTGCACTGAGCAGTTCAGCATACAGGCTCAGAAGAACTGAGGACAAACTAAGACTTTTTTTTGGCAGAGGTACTCCCTCCCCTATGATTTCCCAGTGAATACTTTTCTCAGTTTGCTACTGAGAAGAGACTGTTAAAGTTGAGAGCTGGACTTCAGAGATTTCTAACCTTACTCATACCTTAAAGGTCTTAGTTTCTTCCCTTAGCTTTCCCCCCACTATCTTATTTTCCCAACCATCTCTTCCCCTCCCTGCACCACGGTGAAACAAAGGAAACAATATGCAAACACTTAAAAGAATATTTTATCATTTTTATTCTGGCTACTCAAGGCTTCTGAGCTCTTGGGACTTCTTTTATTTGCTGAGGTTGCAGTACGCTTTTTACAAAAGCTTACAAGCTGATTACAAGTCTGATGTGGGACCATTCAACCCCATCCTCGTAGCCTGGAGAGATCTGCCTGAATTTTCAGACATGCTGTTTTGCTAGACCATATTTTTCTTTTTGGAAGTTTTCAAGCAAACCAATTTAAACCTGGGATTTGGCCTAAAACCACCTTTTCAGGACAGGACAGAAACACATTTCAAAATTCTTCCTGACTTCCCTTGCTTTTTCACTATTATCCATGGACTGAAACAGTCCAAACAAATTTCTCCTGTTGCTCTTTGGTGTTAAATAGGAAGGCCATGTGTCAGCTGCTTCCAGTGCAGGACCTCCTGTCCCGCACAGTCTCATACACCTGGGAGTACATCTTCAATGTGGTCCAACACACAAGCCTTACACATCAAATTTCTGATAATTTAGGATGCCTGCCTTCAACACACAGCCCAGGAAGATTTGTCTGACTGGCCAGCCCTCATCAGCCAAGGCAGGCTCCTGGCCTTCTGCCTGCTACAGGACAAACCTGAACCTTATTTAAAAACCCTTCAGTGAAAGACTGAAGTAAACACCTCCCACTGTCAATCTGAAACAGGCTCCAAGCTGCTGCCAAAGTTCACCCAGTTCATCCAGGTCTAAAAATAAGCCTGATGTGGGAATCAAGAGGTAGCCAGAAAAGATGCTACCCACTTCATTCCTAATGCACTATTTGTTACACAAACCGCAACCGCACTGCTCTGAAGCTCAGAAAGAGCCTTTGATCTTTATCTACACTGGGGAAAATAACACTTTTAGAATTCAACTTCAGATTCAGTCAGTAAAAATAGACTACAGACCTTAAGGGCCTGCACTGCAACTTAATGATGGTTTTAATGAGGTTTTAAACTGGACCAGTAAAGCACTGCATGATTGTGATTTTTACTGTCAGCATGTGAATCTTTAACCTCACATTCCCAGGGTATTACTGGAGGGGGGGGGGTGTTATTTATTTATTTAATGGTCATCCTTTGGGACTCTACTTATGTTTCTGAATTGTATCTGATGAATGCACAAGACCAAAGAACTTTCCCCTTCCTGCTGCTTCTAACATGCAGAGAAGAGCCTGTAGCTATTGGAAGAGGCAGCAGAAGAGGTTGTCCTGGCTCCACACCACATCTAGGCTCAAACACAGGGGAGAAAGATTCAACAGTCCCTAACTGGAAAGACTCTTCAGAAGGAATTGCAGGGGGCATTTTAACTTCTTATGACACCCAGTGCTGAACTATTTGCAATGATTCTAGCTATGTATCTCGTGACTCTTGCAATGTAAGGTTTGTTGCAACACTTTCTTGTCCCCACAATTAAGTACACAAATAACATTCACAGTGTAAAGTCTGTTTTCAGTTGTTTGTAGCTTTCAAAAAATTTCCCTTAGGGGCTGAAATGTTCTAAACTTGATCTCAGCCCAGAAGCAACTTCTTTTCCCCACTCCAACAAACCCACTTAGAAACATGTATTTGGTTACCCTTCAACAGTGGGAAAGTGAGAAAATAGATGGTTAGGCAGTTTAAGACTCTTCCTTTCACGGGTGTTCAGCGAGTGCCTCAGGGAATAGAAGGAAAGGGGAAGCATGGGGGTGGCAGGGTAGAAAAAACAAAACATGAGATGCAAGCACTACAAGAAGGGACTGAGGGAATAGCAAGTTGGTCCAGTTGTAATCAATTAAATAACTTCCTAGACAATGTGAAACAACTCTACAAAATTGGACCTTGCAGCTCCAGAGAGAAAAATAAGTTTTATGGGCTCAGCTGGACTTAGGCTGCAAAAAAGCCAGCTCTTTTAGATAATGCTTGATTGGGAAGCAGTCAAAGAGATCTTTCCATATATATCCATATAAAATTTGGTATCTCTGATCTCTGTCATATTCCTACCAAAAAAGAAGTGTGACTAAGAAAGCTTGAATGCTGCATCAGTATGACTTTCCAGCCCTCTCAGCCTCAAGTCTCTTGGGTTTATTTTCTTTTCACAGGTTGTCTTTTATTTCATGCCCATCATAGGTGGCTATTTTAAGGAGCTATAGAGAGGTGCTGAATGCTGATAAGGCAAATCCTGTATCCCTTAATCCACTGCTAAATCACTCTGCCAGTCTTCAAGGGTACCAGACAGATGGAGTGCACTAGGAAACTGCCCATAGGCTGGTTACTTCAACCCCAGCTCATCTTTAATCCAAAAAGGTTTTGTTCTGGTATTTTAATCATTGATTGACTGGGAACTTTATTCCATGCTGGGTTAGGTAAAATATCCATGTCAGAGTTACTGGGGAATTTGTGAGGCTGTAGATCATAGGAGTGGTGTGAGACAGGATGCGTCTCAAGGGAACCAAGGAAGCCATAAGGAATGTAAAAAGTCACAGGGTTAAAGCCACATTAAGACAGCTGTTATGTTAATGAGAGTTCTGCTTTTCTTCTAGCTGTGGGTCATTGATTTAAAAAAACACAAACAAGATCTTTTTCATTTTATTGTATTTTTGGTCTGAAGCTAACATAGCCCAAAATATCACATCCTAGATCCCATTCATCTTCCTAACAGAACTTGTGCAGGAAGTTATCTTTATTATGTTAGTGTGTGGATGATTCCTAGGGTTTGATTTGGTCTTACCTGACACAAGTCTATAGATGAAGCTGTTTTGCAAGCATTTCACTTAGTAACCATGTTAAGAAAAGAGTCATGCATCACTGAGTTTGCCTTTCAGGCAAATTCATGTACACATCTGATTTTGTCACAGTCATAACAAACACTGACAAAAACTGTGTTGTGAAGTCTTCTGCAAAAAAAACCCACCCAAAACATTTAGCAGGTAAAACTGAAAAAGTCTGAATTTTTCAAGAGAGATACTCAGTAATACAGCCATGCTGATGTAGGTGTGCTTGTCTTAAAACATCAGAGACATGTTTTCTATTGCTGATTTCAGTTTGCAGAGTTTGAATGACTAAGGCTGAGCTTCAAATATCAAAACATAAAAACAGAGTTTTACCAAAGCAACCAAATTCACCTGTACCCTTGGTTAGATCACAAATTACTATTCATTTTTCTTTCTTGGTTAGATCTCAAGCTACAATATTTTGCTTGTTACCCAGTGACACATCTGCTTATGAATGCTTGCAACTGAGGCAGATTTAAATGAGCATGCTTTTACAAATGACTCTCAGAGATCAAGTAGTGGAAGAGAAGCAGATGACTCCACCTGAAGTATTAAACATTTCACAGGACATGCTGCTTGGCCATGAAGCAGAGTAAGTCCAAGCCTGAGCCTGAACTCTAGGGCACAGTATATTCCAGAACTATCTGGCTGCTATTTGTCTGGGTTTGTACATCTGAAAATCCAGGTTCATGCTTGTTTTTAATTTAAATCAACTCCATGGTTTACCCCTCCAGTGCATTAGCTTGTTTTAGACAATCTGGTTCTACACGAAGTTGTGAAGACCTAACAGTCATTTGAGGGTTTATTTTCTTTCAAATTAAACTGACAGTGAGATTAAAAGAGATATTACAAGGTTTAAATAAAGTCAACTTCAAAAGCTAACTGAAAAGTAAACTGTAGATACAGCACCAGTAACCTTGCTCACTTGCATGGCTCTACAGACACATTGTCTTTTTTTAAATGCTTTCCTCTCTTCTATTAATGCCTGAAAGACCCAAACAACAACAGATGAAATCAGTCAAGTATAAGCTGGCACAACAGCTGACCTGATTACATGCAGAGTGCTGTCAAATGCATAAAACAAACAAACTGGGATAATAGACCTTCTTCTCCAAAGGCTCAGTATCGTATTCATGGTAGGTATGGAACAATTACTGGGGAAAACACAAATGTTTTTTTTCAAAGCAGTTGTCTTAAACAGTTGAAAAACCAATGTCCATGTACAGCAAAAACCCCTGAGGTTGTAAACAATGTAGCTTCACATTTTCATTCTACCCCAGAATAGGATCACTTCAGAATATAAAAGGAATGACATGCTAATAGAAAAAGAAATTCCCTTTTTTAGGCAGCTTTTGAATACATACCTGGACACGAGCCTCTGTGAGTTTGGCTCTTTGAGCAAGTTCTTCCCTAGTATAAATATCAGGGTAGTGTGTCCTCTCAAAAGCTCTTTCCAGCTCCTCCAGTTGCTCTGCAGTGAAGGTTGTCCTGCTGCGACGCTGCTTTCTTTTTAAAGGTAAATCTGGTTCAGAATCGATGTCAGAGCCTTCATCAGACTGGGGTGCTGATGCTCGAAAAGGAAAAAAATTAGACAAAAATTGTGTTTAGTTGAGTGGAAAACAAAAAGCAGAATATTGAGTCGATTGATGATATGGAAAAGCTGCTTTGTCCCCATGACTCAGAACTGAGGGGGCAAACTTAGTAAAAGGAAACAGAGTTAAATGTGCTCAAACAAATAAAGAATTGTCAAAAGTTCAACTATGACTTTAGCACCTTTACCTGGGCCAATATTAAAGAACCCCTAGAAATCTGAGTAAATGAATTATTCAATTTCTTTGTTATAACTCCTCCAGCAGTTTGCAAGTGTTTCAAAAACCTGAGTACGGCTTAGTACCAAGCAATATGTCCTTGTTCCGTTCCCTGAACTAGCAAACAGATACAATACTTGTCACACACACCAGTGTGCGTGTTGTAACTTAAACATTCAGACTTTATAGACTCAGGTCCATGAGACCTTCCCTAGAGATCCATAACTAGAGCCTTATTGCTGAAATGATTATGAAAGTAATTGCAAAGGTATGGGGAGCACTACTGGAGAAATACATTGTTTACACAACCAAATATGTACTTCATGTCACATGTTTTATTTGTCCAACACTCTGAGCAGTATTGTAATGTTTGTTAGTATATCTCACCACATTTAAACATTCCCCTTGTTTGGAAGTTATTCATGTGTCTTAGGGCTGCCTAACATAACCTTAGGACAGGCCAGACAAATGTTAATATTAAATATAAAAGAAAATTTGGGATGTGCATTGCACTAAGAAATCCTGTAAGAATAGCTTAAAGCAATAGTTTGATTTGACTCTTCCAGTCCCTAAAGCAAGGAGATTCCAGTGTATATGATGACCAGAGCTGAAATACATGGACTGCATGCTTCCTTCACCTAAGGTTTCAGCACAGAGCACAGCTACATACAGATGTGCTGATGCTCAGCATCCAATCAACAGTCCAGGATGTGACTTCAAAACAGTCAAGGCTATGCTGGATTAAGTGCCCCTCACACCACATCCCAAATTGGTACTTAAGGAAAGTCAGCAAAAAACAGACCACATACAGCATTGTCCATGACCCAGGAAGGGACTACCAACTCTTGAGATCACCAGATTAAAAAGAAATCAGAAACCAAACTCTTTCTGGGTTTCATGGGCATAGAGAGAGTGAAATCACACACACACAGACAGTTCCTGGCATCATCACTTGTTTCCTCTGAACTCCCTGGCAATCAAGTGAATTCCAGCTACAGCCCAATCATGGCTGAACCCATAGCCAGAGCTGTGAAGGCAGCAGAGCCCCTTCCAGCACCCAATCACATTCTCTTTCTCCAAAAACCATAATGAACTGAAAGAGTAGATTTCCAAAGCCAGCCTTTACTCGCACCAGCTGCTGTCCCAGGCAGCAAGCATTCCTTCTCGTCTGAGTCTTCAAGGGAAACTACCTAAAGAGGGCAGACACTCCCCAGTGATGCTGAACTGCTTGTTCAGCAAGCACTGCCTCTACTACTTCAATAATGCCAAATAAATTATTGATATAGACATTGATTTAAAATAATCTTCTTAACATGATTTATTTGGCAGTAACTGAGAACACAAAGCCAAGAAGAAATCACTGTTTCTCAAGATCCAGCTAAAACCCCTCACCATGTTCATTTCTGGCTACCTTACATTTCCAATTTCACTCAAGCTGTTTGAACTAATAAATAAATCTAATCTGTTTACTTAGTGTTACAGCATGAGAAAGACAAAATGCTGTTTCAGACGATACAAATGAAGAATTTATGAATTTGTCTACCTAAATAAATAAATAAATAAATACTGCTAGACCAGAGACTTTTAGGTGAAAGCTGTCTTCACTGACCAGACATCATCAATACCTTGAACCCAACATACACAGAACATCAGGAGAATCTCCCATAAAACTCACCACTGATGTTAAGTGTGAAAACATCTGACTCCCAGAGACTTCTACTTGCATTTAATTTTGCCCCAAGTAAAACTCTGGTTCTTGAGAACATTGCCCTCAAGGACAAAAAGGAACCAACACAAACATCCTATCCCAAACAGTTCAAGTTCATTCCTTTCAAAACAAATAACCCAGGGTATCCCAAAATGAACATAACGCATTGTCTCAATTAATGACAAATCCCAAACCTCAGTTGGGGTCCCAAGTGACACCTGCTTTCCTCAGCAACTGCCAAGTTACAGTCCTCCAGGATGGCTTCATGCTGCTGGTTCAATAATAAAACCAGGATACTTAAAACCTAGTTTCCTTATGTTAGCCTCAGATACAAATCATGGACTTTAAGCAGAACAGCTCTGCTGACAAGTTAGTCTAGTGGAGGAGAGCAAAGTCTTAGCAAAATCTTGTAATGTTTCACCGCACCTTGCATCCATGCAGCAACAAGAATGCAGAACTGAAATGCTGACTTGATTTCATTTTTCATTTTAGCTTTACATTTCATTAAGCTGTACATGAAAGGCACAAAGGTAAAACAGTCAACAAAAGCTGCAGTCTCTGAGAGTCCAGTATGACACATCTAATCAAGTGCAAACAGAGAGAAAGTAACAAAATTAAAGTAGGGAGAGCTACGTGGAGCTTCATTGAAAACACTCAGTTCCTTTGAGTTCCATTGTTTTGTCTGACCTGTGATATTAAAATCAGACAAATGTAATCTTAAATTATAACTTTGTATCTGTACTACAAACCACATTTTTTATTTCTTACAAAGTCATCTTAGATATGATGAGATTCAAGGAAGTTTTTATTCTTTTTTTTCCCTATTAAAATACTGTTATTTGACATTTATATAGGTAAGAAGCCAATCAGAGCACTGGCTAAGCATATTGACATACCTCAGCCTTTAAAAAAGCAGTATTTGTTTTATATATGCTCAATAGCCACAGCACATTGCCCTTTGGTAAGCAGTATCTCATTAACAGATCCACTGACTTTTATGATGCAAAAAGATACTATTCAGCACAAGTAAAGGTGGTCAGATTTTAGATAGCTTATTTCTGTCTCCATCACCTCCGCAGACGCACACACAATACGTATATCGCTAACCTTTACAGTTGTCCTAATGATATTAATACTCCATCCCTTCAAGTTATAAATGGGAGAAAGGAATTGACTCACCAGTGCCCTGAGAGATCTGCGGCCAGGTCCCCCAGTATCCCCCCTCACTGCACAGCTCAAAGTGGGAGAGGCAGCCAAAAGCATGACCAGTAGCTGAGCCATGAAGTTTAATTAAAGAAGGAATTACAGAAGTAAAGAGCAATTATTTGTCTCTTAACGCTGTGTGACCTGAGGACACATTGCATGCCTGTTATCACCACAACACGCAAAAAAATCTCTGCCTAGTGTAGCAGGCATTCAGTCACCTGAAGCTCTGCAATGGTCCCTTTTCTAGACACCATAAACAGACACCACGGGGCAAAAGCCAAACAACAGAATAACGCACAAGGGGTCATTCTGTGGGTTGTTCTTCCTCTCAGCAAGACATTTCATTTGAATAGTTAAATATCAAAAACATGACAACCATTTAAAACCCATACATTACCGCTGCAGCACAGCACACCTGACAAATGCAGGCAGAGGTTATCTTTTTGCCACTGCAAAGGCACAAGTTCTCTGGCAATCCTTCAGTCACTGTGAAATGTTTAAGTAAAATATTATGCAGCCTCTTCTTATAAGTGTAACAGCCTGGGGTCTGCCCTAGACAAATTGTCTGGCCGCGAATCTTGCTAAAAAAAGACTGAAAAAGCCAGCATACAAAGGCAGAGAGGGTTCTGATGGTGGTTTATTTGCTGGTTATCCTTCCCAGACCTTCTAATTTCTCTATTTACACATGGTTAATTCCTCAGGCTCTCCCCCTCGTGCCACATCTCTATTCCTTATGGCTGTATCCAGGGCATCCCCAGCTCTGGGGAAGTGCCGGGAGGCAGCGGGTACCGCGGGGCTGCTGCCGGATCCCTTTCACGCCATGGAGAGGCGAGTGACCTGCCTCGTGTTTACTCGGGTGCAGGCAAGGAGGAGTGCTGCAGGGCCGCCACCCCCCACACAAACCCACAGCAAATGACAAATGACACTTTCTCTTTGTGATCTTTGGGATTTTTGTTGACTTATTTGGAGGCTTTTGTTGGGTCCTAAGAAATGGCCTGTGGCTGAGGCCTATTCGGCCGATTTCCACGCTCCATCTGTGGTATCCATCAGCAAGGCCTTTGCCCGCATTCAGGGCTCTGACACCTGCCTGGCAGGATGCAGGAGGCACAAAGGAGGCTGCCGCGGACGCAAGGGGGGCGGTGGGGAGGGCAGCCAGGGTGAAGGGGATGCACAGCAGGGGTTAATCCCAGCCACCCCCTCCCCAAACCTCCGCACCTGGAGACATCCCTCCAGGACTGCCTCTCCCGGCCAGAGGTAAAGGGGCTCAAACGCAACCCTCCATCATGTTGTGGATGAATTAGAAAGGAAAGGGAGGGAGAGGGAAAACTGCCCCAGGATGTGGGCCGTCAGAGTCACCCCAGGCGCTCGCTAAATAAACCTCCAGCACTGGGAGCAGCAGTAGGTGGCCAGCAGTGCATTCCTCCCTGGATCCTTGTTTGTGTTGGGATAGGCTTTCAGCAGCTGGCGATTTAACAGTCAACGGACTAGAAACACATCACGCATCCTTTCTTTCCTCAAAATAAAGTCTACAGAAAAAGAAAACAGCATCTTTTATTTCCTACTAACAGCCTCCATCCTTTTTCCCTCTCTGAGCAGTCCCGTTTAGGAGCAGGCTCATATTTGCATACAAAATGTAATGAAGACTCTGAAGCCAACCAACTACCTCCCTCCCAACCCATCCTCCCTCGCTTTTGCTCTATTTGCCTGGGGAAACATGACTCCAGGCTCGCCTCTTCTCCTCCTCCTCCTCCCAAAACCTCACTGTCACAGCAAGGAGCCATTAAAAAGAAAATGGGCCCTGCCAGGTCTGCGCTAATCAAAACAGGACAAATAAACTCTGACACTCAA